ATTCATCCCATCATTTTATGAATCGTTGCAGCTAGCTTCCAGGCAAGGAGTTGCACAGCTTACTTATTGCCAAACCATCACAGAGGCCCTGTGAGTAAAAGGAGAGGGTTCCTTCCTTGCTCATTGGGTTCATCCATTAATTTGGGATATATCTGTCCTGCAGCCAGAGGTTTGATTGTAGATACATAGTCACATGCAGCCACATACGTATCAGTAGCGGTGTGATTATGGCTGCAGGGACTTGATATTTGATCACTGTCCTCCACATCTGTGCATGCTGCCATCACTTCATTGCTTTTGGTACCAGAGCTAATTAGATGAACATTTTCTCTGTATTGATACAGTTTTGTATCAGTTTTTCTCTGTATTGATACAGTTTTGTATCTGTATTGATACAGTTTTGTACAGTTTTTGTAATTCAGTTTTACTCTTAGTCCTGCCCCAGGTCCAGCTTTTCATGTTTACAATGGGGACTAACCATGGTATTTAGAAGGTCCTGGTTAGCATATGCTAGTAATAATATGCTTATTTGGGGCATCAGCAGGCCCAGAGATCACAGCACATTTCAAATGACCAATAGGGCCGCTCTGTGCTTGTGCAGTAAATGTGAATGTGGGATTGGCTGCATTCAGGTAAAGCAACTTCACGGTCCATCTGAGATGTGTCTGAGTGCACGCACGAGCTGCTTCCTGGATGCCCGGGCATCTGAAAAAGCAACTGGTTGCTACAATAAAAAAAGCATGTGTTGCCTATGCTTTTCCTAAGCGACGCAACATTTGAGCATATCATGATGGAAAGCCTACTTATCCAAAACATTTGGCCTTGCTAGTGTGGCTGATGGGTCTTGGGAGATGTTTTGAAAATGGAGGAAGGGATAGTTAGTCTTTTAGCTAAGACTGCACAGCATATATTTTCCAAATTTATTCCCATTCCCAAGACCTGTCACCTTGAGACAGAGTATTGGCCCCTTCTATGAGTTTTTCTTCTCAGAGCTGTTTTCCACCTGGAATTTATTATATTTATATTTATTATAATGAAAAAATTGCTTGTCCAAACGTTTTCCCAAAGGCCCCATCAGGTTCTTACGTCTACTAGGATATTTCTTGGCTCAGTTTCTGTCCCCAGCTATAGAACAGTAAATTTTGTCTTTTTATAGATATATACAGGTTCTGAGACGCTGTTTAATGAGAGTCTTTCCCCTCTGTGAATCCAAGGACTTTTTCATTCCCTTTGCAGGCCCCTGGGGATTCATTAGGCCTTTAAGATTAGGTCTGCTTGAGCAGTCCAAGCGTGAAATGCAGAGTCTCACGAACTGGCAAGTCAGTCCATTGAGTAAAGCTGTGGAGAATATCTGGCCCCAGAAATCCCCCCGTTTCCTGACATTTTCAGTCATACCCCTGCTACCAGTTAAATCTCTGTCTGGGGATGAAGGAGTGATGGGTGATGAAAAAGAAGAAAGAGTTTCTAAGTTTTAAATTTAACTTTTAACTTAGAATTTTAAATATTTCGAGAGTGTACATACAACCCTTATAAAAGCACGCAGTGCTATGCACGTTACAGAGCTGCCTGGCTGCAGAGTAGGTGCCTGGGGACGAAGCTTTTTAGCAGCATCGCTGCTTCTATATAGGAGAGAAGCTTGTGTATCATGTAATTATCTAGTACATAGTTCTATACTGTGTAGATCTCTCTCCGTAAACATGTACTATACATATGCCTACACACACATACGCTATGCATATATGCACATATATATATTCTATGTACATACATGCATACAGGCAAGGATGCATGTGTATGTTTATATGCAGGCATATGTACCTATTGTACCAGCACATGGTTGTTCTCCTTGAGGATGATTCCAGCGTAGCTATTTCAGTACAAGCTATACCCATGACCAGTATCTCTGCATGGGTACTCCAGGTTTCCATGGTTCTGTCAGCCCCCAAATCCATACACCCGTGGGCCTGCCAGCTTTATTCCAGTAACACCCAGTTCCTGACTCTCCTCTACCCTCTCCTCTGTGTAATTCTTCGTATCAAGCAGAAAAAGTATGTAAAAGGTTCCCGGTCTCGTTTTACTGCTTTCCCTTTTTCATGCATGCTTAGGGCACTGTCAGAGCAGGGAGAAGAGGACTTCCCCGAAAAGACTGGGCACGCAGAGCTTTGCCGCCCATTCAGCAGGGATATAAAGACTGCTGCTTTAAGTAGCTGGTGTTTGAGACCTACCGGTTAAATTGTCTGTTGTGAAAGAGTTTTTTCAGTTAGTTATGCTGTCTAAAATAAAACTTGAATGGATAATTACTACTCTGTATGCTGCGAACTACAGTTAATAGGGCCAAAGTATAATACATTAATCTCCGGATTTATGAGAAAACATACGTTGTTTTAGAGGATTTGTTAGGTTTTGTTTTCTTTCAGTACGTTCCTTGGTGTATTTATAACGGACAAATGAGACTCAGAAGAGTGTGTGTGTGTGTGTGTGTGTGTGTAAATAGCACATTCAAAAGCTCTTAAACACCTCCAAGATTTTATACTTTCTGAAGAGGATAAACCACAATACTCAGGAGCTAATGTCCCACTTCTGTTTACCTTCTGAGAAACGGTGAGCACTGGCAGTGGACAGATAGCAACTTTACCTTTTAAATTGTCTCCTTCTCCAAGTAACCGCTTCACCATTGAAATCAGATGGCTGGTGACTCATGAGGAAGTGAATAAATTCAGTGTTTAGCATGTCTCAGCCCCTTTTGGAGGAACCTGGTATAATTGCTATCTCGCTGAACCAAAGACAACGAAAAGATCTTCTCAAGATTGTGAATGGTGATTTTATTTATATCTCATTTGGATACTCTCTGTAACACAAAGAACATCATGCAGGGTTTCTGAGGGAGCATCCTCTGCATTCAACCTCTTGGCTTAAATTAGCTATGTATTACCTTACATTTACAAAGAAAACAGGTATTTTGCTCACATTTCAATGGGAAAACCATAATAGCCCCTATTACTGAATTCTGGCTTTTTAACTGCAGTCTGCAGCTGCTGAAAGCAGAACTCAATTCTGTCCAGCATCCACCTCAGAGAACAAATCCATTAAGCAATTTTGTGCATTTCAGAAATGGTCTATTTTCTGTAAATTATGTAACTGTGCCGAGTATGTCTGTAAACCAGGTTTTGAATTGTGGTTATAGGCAAGGACAATTAACTGTAAAGGGTAATTTCAAACAGTACGTTAGATAAAGGATATGTTACTCTGTGATAAGGAGAGCATTTTAAGGCAACTTGTTTTATAAAGTATATCAGGTGTATTATGTGTTGCAGTTAATTACTTCAAAACACATAGCATTGTTTAAAAGCAATTCAATAAGAATGCAGTTATAACCTTTCTAAGGGATGATTCTACATTATAGATTTTATTTTATTTCTTGGAAAATAAAAACAAGGAAATTAAGTACTCGCAAATTTTATTTCACTCTACATGAGAAATGTTCGTAATGGTTTTACTGGATGCAATACCTAAGGCAGAAGTAGAGTCTCTGACCACGAAGAGTAATAAGATCAGATAAAATATGACTCTGGTTTGTGTTCCCAAAATAGAGCTGAGTGAAATGCTGCAAGTTCTTAAAAGAAGGAAGCGTTGAAACATATTGCCTTTTCTGTCCCAAGACTATAAAATCACTAACCTTCAACAAGGGGCTACTAGAGGTACTGAGAATCAATGGAGATACCACCGCTGTTCAATTCATTTTAATTTCCTTTTAATAACTGCTAAAATAAAGAGCTTGGATATTATTAGAATTGGAAGCAACCTTATTTTGTAGCTTCCCTTTGTGCCATGGCGTCTACTTCAGAACCTGAGCTGTCAGCCATGAACTGCCTGTCGTGGTGGTAGCCCAGCACGTTGCCCAGAAGCAGCCTGGCAGGAAGGGACAGCTTTTGGATCCTTAAATGGGCTTTCTGCTGCTGCTGCTGCTACTTGTTCTCAGGGTCAAAACCTGAAAATGCATCAGGTGTCTGTGTCTACGTTGCTGTTTTAGTGGGGTCAGGAGTGTGTTTTTGAAGGTGATGTCCATCATCATCACCAAACCAGAGGATGCGGAGAAGCACCTAAGGCACTTCTGCCACTTGTAGCTATCCTGTCCGTGGGACCAGACCAGAGTGAGTCCTAAGTCCTCCAAATGTGCAGAGTGAATGTCAGGTCCTCAGCATCTGTTGTTTGTCTGCACTGTCTGCCAAGGTAGACTTAGCCTCTGTGTAAAATTTTCACGTCTAGTTGAAGTTTTTCACATGTGCAGGTGTTTAAGGGGTCAAACCCTTATTCAGCAAACATTTAAATAGAGGATTAAGTGTTAGACTCTACTTAAATACTTGCGTTTGGATTTAGAGCTAGACTTCTGGATCTATTTTGATTTAGAGCCAGATATTTAGAAGTTAAAAGTGTCAGGAAGGATTTTGGTGGGTTTTCAGAAAAAGTTGCTGCTCTCATCGAGTTGGAAATGTTTAAACATCCTTTAAAATGTGGTCCTTGGGCCCTGCAAACCAGCCCTTAACACAGTCAGCACTGCAAAGCTGTGGTGATGTAGGAACCTAAACAACATGGACTTTCAGTGAGATTGGGGCTCCTAAGTCAACGTAGGGACAAACCCATAGAAATATTCAGTCACCTGAAAATAAATTTGACATTAGTTTAGTGCTTATTATGTTCAGAAGCTTTTGAAAAATCCATTACCTGCATCTTCAGCTACAGTGAGACCTTTACAGTCTGGCTTTCATGGTTTGTGGCACTTCACAGAGCAACCTATAAATATCTTGAAAGCCTGGGGCTACTGCTAAGGCGACTCAAGTACCTCAGGTAGTTTTTAAAGTTCTATCCTTACTAGTTTTCAGAGATGGAAGCTGATGATTGAATAATTGGAATCGGAAAATATTTTGGGAAGAATTCATTTGTTTGCTGAAGAACACTGTATAAGCATTAACCCTTAACAGATTTTTCCTGCTGTTTTTCAGGTAAAGGGGATGTGTTTGGTGATATCTTCTGGAAGGAAACTAGTCTAGCCCACGCATGTGCCAATGTACGGGCTCTGACATACTGCGATTTACATATTATTAAACGAGAAGCCTTGCTTAAAGTGTTGGACTTTTATACTGCTTTTGCAAACTCATTCTCAAGGAATCTCACACTCACCTGCAATCTGAGGAAACGGGTAAGGCAGCTGGTCTTGTTTTCATCTTTCTTAAGTAACAAAAGATTGGAAACTCTTGCAGACTGCTTGCAGTGTTTAACAATCCCCAGTTGACTCTTGATGTTTTCAGGTCATTGCAGATTAACTGGCCTTTCAATAAATGCTGTAGCTGTTTGTTAATGATGTCTCAGTAGAAGCTACCCATGGATTTGCAGCTCTGAGTAGCAGCTCTAGCAGGATGACATAGGAATTACTTTTTCTTTTCCTTCTCTTTACAGTTACTGGGTTTTTTTCCCACTGCGTAATGTATGAAGTTAAATTTTATAGAATACGAATTCTGAATTCCTCTGAGGTAAAGTTTCAGCTCTCACCTGCCTAAATATAAGCCAGAGGTCCAGCCTGGTAAATCAGCCTGGCATAGGCCAACTAAGAGAAATTTATTGATGTTAAATAAAAAAAATGGTACGCAGCAGAAGTATTATTTTAATACCTGCTTCTCTCACTTACGTAGTTTAGAATTTTAATATGGCAAGCTTAATAAAGCTTGGTACTGATTTTACATTCACAGCTCACTTTTTAAACCCTCCTGTCCATTTTATAATCAATCAGCAATGCTCACTCTCCATTAGGCCTTTCAAAGAACCCTTCATCTAAAAATTAATTAGCTATAAAGATGTATCTTGAAAACAGGTTCAGGGATTCTTTAATTCGCATTGCGGCTGCAAATTTTAATCTTTATGATTTTTTTTTTTTAAGATTGATGAGGGTTATATAAATTTCATTTGCATAGAGAAATCTCATAACAATGATTTATAGATTACTGAGCGTTAACGGAGATGCTTTAGCTGCAGAAACACTTTTTTTTCCCCTGTAGCTGTACCTAAGAAATCTCACCTGAAACTGTATTGAAGCTACCTCAATATTTTACAAGACAATTTCAGGCTCTGTGGAAGCAGGAGTTTAACACAACTAGAATTTTATTTCTCTGCGTCTAGTCTCTAAATACTTCTTTTAAAGGAGATTTAATTTTTAGTGCTTTCCTTGTGCTCATTAATATACCAAATGTGGCATGAAACACCCTTGGCAAAAAGCAGTTGCAATAGGATTGCAGACCTCCTCTGTCTGTGTGGGAGCCTGAAAGAGCTGAGCTATAATCGGGTTTGGTTCCAGCTTGTCAGCTTACCTCTGGCTTGAAGCATGTTAACTCTGCTTCAGACTTGAAGAAGGGCTTTTGGGCTTGAAAGCTGGTTTGGGGTTTCCAGCTTTTCAGTTATCTATTGATAAGATGTCCTCCAAGCATCCCTCCCCTGCCAGTCTCGCCTACTTGCAATGTGCCGCGAGCTGCAGGTCCCGAGAGGAAAATTCTGCTCGAGCTTCTGGAAGGTGATTTCATGGGACAAGATAAAACAACATACACTCTGTCAAAATATTCTCTGCTTCTTAAAACAGTGAAACTGTCACTTCAGCTAGCTTCGTAGGACCCTTCTACCTGCCATTAGCCGTGACAAGGTTGTGTACAGGAAAAGCACACACAGATCTTTTCCTGACAGGGCAATGTTCTGGCTTGCAATTCAGCAGTTCTGGGGTGCATACGGGGAATAGTCTCCTGGATGTTTTTTGTGGACTCTTCTCTCCCTCATGCCTGCTTTCAGCCAAATTGGTTCCCCTGCAGGGCTCTGGCATAGGGAGTCACTGCTCGCTCCGGTGGCGATGCTTGGGGAGCTCAGGTCACCCACTGCATAGCTCAGTGTTAGAAACATGCGTTTTTCCACAGTGGCAGCGACTGAAAGCAAGCAGGACCTGAACAGCACTTCTAAAGAAAGGCTGGATTTTGCAGAAGAAGAGTGATGTATCTGTTGGGTGCTTGTGTTAGCATTAGGTGAGACATAGAGAGCAGATGGACAGTCAAAGAAAGATTGCATCAACATGGTACGCACAGGGTGGAATTTATTTCACCTGCACCAAGCTAGTCACCAGTCACCTTCATAGTCCATGAAAAATGGTACCTCCAGAGGGCAATCATCCCCCTGTTCTTGTGTGCCTAGTCTAGAAAGGGAAAAATTGTCCTGTCTTTGCTGACTTTAGAGAGAGTCCTTGATCACTAACTTTTAAATACAGGTACAGCCGATGATCTGCACCTATGATGGCTCCTACAGTTTTACTCAAGAGTCATTTCGGGAAAAGAAGGCTTATTCCTAGTATTGCAGTAACTTTTGCTAAACCAGAGCCTGCATTGCAAAAATTCTGTGTATTGTTCCTAGGCCCAAAATAGATAACCTTACCTTCAACACCAGGGACACAACCCAAGTCCTGTTGCATAAAAGTATTCAGGAGATTGTCTCAGACCTCACATCTGTCAAAAGCATATGTGATTCCCCGTTGGGCACGGAAGTATTTGACTCTGAGTTCATCTCTTAGGAAACGTAGCATCATCCAGCGCACCATTCCATCAGGTGAACAGAAAGCTGTTGTTCAGGTAATGAGACGGGGCTGACAGAGCAGCACCGTACTGCAGGAGTTTGTGCTGGAGTCATGTAATCTAAACTGAAAGAAAATCATTATCTCCTTTAATTGATTTCAATGGAAATATACTTAGCACTTTTTCTATTTAGTAATCACTTGTAAGGTTTGGCTTTTAATTATAACAAAAATACACTCCTTGTGATTCTGTACTCGAGAAAACGGCTGCTTGTTCTCGCTGTCAAAAATACATAGATAGAATTGCATTTTCCATCAGGTCTGCTGTTCGAAATATGCGGTATGTGGGTATGTACATACACACGCACACACACACACATATTTGTACTGCTAAAGCGTTCTTCCTCAGCAAGCACTAAGATGTAGTCCGTAGACTGTGTAACAATTTAGATGTTCAGAAAGCTAATAAATTAATAATAGTACTGAGCACAAAAGGTTAGTTCCACATGACAGGAAAGAGACAATCTCACTGAAGTGGGAAAATAATGTTTTCTCACTCCCAAATAACATTTAGAGGCCTGGCATATCAAATGACCTACTTAAGGCATCTGCTCAGCATGCTATTATCAACTCTGGATTTTTGTTTTCTTTTTCTGTGTGTAAGGTAGCTCAGACATTGTGCTGCATTTATGAGCCCATGAAATGAGAGTGCTTGCTAGCTTTTCAACCTGCAGTCATCTCTCCTGCTCAGGGTGGCAAAGTGACTTTTAATCTGTAGTTGCAAACTATTGCAGTGCATCTTGTTTCGTGCACTGAAATCTTTATGGCACACCTAACATCGCTAATGCGCACTCCAAGGCAGAACCAGGACTTTCAACTTTTTTTCCAAGTAGGGAAAATAATTAATCTGGAAAGTTATTCTTTGAAATCACAATGAGATTACATAGCCTCCTCTGAGGACTGAAAGTTATAAAGCAAGTGCTTGGGATGAGTCTTCAAAGAGTTAATTACTGATTTCTGATGTTAGAAGGGAATATTAATAATGTCTAATTCATTAAGTGCCTTTCAAGATTTTGCCCAGCTAGAGTGAGGACCTCCCCTGTAAGCTTCAGCCATGGAGTCTGGCTCAAGGAAGGGAGCGAGACAAGTTTCTAGGAGACTCAGACACGTATGAGTGAATGTATTTTATTGATGGTCAAAATTCAGAAAGGAGGGCCTGCACTGTGTTATCTAATGCATTCCTATGGAGAACAAACATTTAGCTGAAATATTTGTAATGCTTTTTTTTCCTTTTCTCGTGGTTGGTTCGTCTGCACCAGCTGATCCACCATCTCCAGATAACTGTTAGACTGTCACAGTTTGTGTATGTGCAAGAAAAGTCAAAGTGAAATTCTGGCCCTTCTGAAATAAACACTAAAATTCTCCTCCATCTCAGTAAAGCAAAGATTTCTTCTACAGCTTTTAAGGTGCACAGTCACATACTGCTGTTTTCTACCAAGAGCAAAATGAGCTGTATTAAAGAAATGAACCCGGAACGTCCAGTGAAGAGGGCAAGTGTCCATATAGAATCTCTGGGACATTTGCTCCTGGAAGTCACGGAAGTGCAAAGAAAAACAAGTACCTTTAAAGCAGTGAAACATCATCCAGAAAAGTTTGGTTCTGATCTCTGTGAAGCTCTGGAGGCCAGGGACAATACTGTGAGTGACTGATGTTATGTAATTCCTCCAACACAGTGTGAAGCTCTGAGGCTTTTTAGAAGGCAAGGCCATCAGACTGTCTTAACACTGCAGTCCTGGTTTTCTTTCTATTTCAGGTCAAAATAATTTCTTTTCAAACTGGTTTTCTGTTTTTTGCTTGAGGTTTTATGAAGCGTATGTTGTTTTTTGACTGAATCACACATCATTTCTATGGCATAGAATTTTTAGAAAAGCTTTATTTTAATTTGAATTGTGTTAGTATCTCCTAAAAATGAAGATCGTACCCGTGTTTGTTTGTTTAGGATCCCCTTTCTTTTCATGTTTAAGACTCTCTGGTAAGCAGGCCACATTAGCAAGTATCCAGATGTAGAAAAGATATTGGGCAGAAAGCGTAGCTCTGTGCATTGGCCATTGCTCCTGAATGTTCTGGTATTCTGGTGATTCTGTAGACTTTTGCAGGTTTTGAGATCTGAAAGCCTTTCACTATTATGGCAGCTTAAGTCAGAGCTGTTTCTGTTTTGCAAGCTGTTACTCGCACTCAGTCCTGTTCACTTTTGGGGAGAGGTTTGCCTGCACAGAAATGGATCAGACCATGGTCCTTGTGTAACTCTGCAAGCTGTGGGAGAAACTGTGGAGCAGGACATGCTGGGCACCTCCTCTTCCCAGTGGTCCATCTTCAGTGACCCTTTTTCTCAATAGTGACTCTCACTGGGAGCTTTCTCCCTCTGGGATAGTGATGATGGCAAAACCTATCTCGGCAAAACAAGTTTCTTCAGCATTGTTAATGACAAGAACCATGCTGCTTAGGGGGTAGCTGTGACTAGTAACGTAGATCAATCAGTGGAGGAGGCTCCAGCGGGGTCCATGGTTCTCGTTCTGTGAGGGAGACTGTGCCCGCTCCCACGC